AGTCTATCATATTTACAACTAGAGAAGAGGGGAATAGCCCATGAGATTCATCAGCTAGCTAGTCTTTGAGTTCGATTACTAGACTCAGGTGATATTGGAATTACTATTCAGGATACGGCAACATCCTCGTTAGTAACTGAAGTGAAGGAACGCCAGTACGAGGATCATATGTTAGTTCATTATAGGGATACCACCCCTCATAAGGAGAAGACACCGTTTGAGATTACAAAAGATGGGGTCCTCAGATATCGAGGATAATTATGTGTCCTTAATGTTGCAGGGCTGCGTCGGCAGGTTATGGGAGAAACTCACCATTCTCGTTATTCTATCCATCCAGGAGAAACAAAGATGTATCATGATATCATGGAGGTATATTGGTAGGACGGAATGAAAAAAGATATAGCAGAGTTTGTTGCTCAGCGCCCTAACTGGCAGCAGGTTAAAATTGAGCATCAAAAGCCGGTGGATTATTGCAGGCTATGGAGATTCCGACTTGGAAATGGAAAGTAATTAATATGGATTTCATCGTAGGCTTACCTCGTACCCAGCGTAAGTTCGATCCTATATGGGTAATTGTTGATAGACTTACAAAATTAGCCCATCTTCTGCCCGTTAGGACTACATATTCCGCAGAGGATTATGCAAGGCTTTATATTAAGGAGATAGTACGACTGCATGGTGTCCCTATCTCTATTATCTCGGATCGAGGAGCTCAATTTACAGGATTAAGGACTCAGGTAAGTCTTAGTACAACATTTTATCCCCAGACAGACGGACAAGCTGAGCGTACTATTCAGACACTTGAGGATATGTTACGAGCTTGTGTGATAGACTTCAAGGGTAGCTGGGATGATCGTATGCCGCTTATTGAGTTCGCATATAATAATAGCTACCATTCCAGTATTCAGATGGCTCCATACGAAGCTCTTTACGGGCGGAAGTGTAGGTCGCCTATAGGGTGGTTCGATGTTGGGGAAAACTACGTTAGTAGGACCAGAATTTGTACAATGGGCAATCGAGAAAATTAAGCTTATACAGGAAAGGCTATTAGCAGCTCAAAGCCGTTAGAAGTCTTATGCGGATAATTGACGGCGAGACTTGGAGTTTCAGATTAATTACTAGGTATTCCTAAAGGTATCACCAATGAAAGGTGTCATGAGGTTCGGTAAGAAAGGAAAACTTATCCCTCAGTACATCGGACCATATAGGGTCATACGCAAGGTAGGCCAGGTAGCATATGAGTTAGACTTGCCTTCGGACTTGGAATCTGTACATCCAGTCTTTCATGTGTCTATGCTCCGTAAATGTATCGTAGATCCTTCCATAATCGTGTCAGTTGACGACGTTCAGGTCACAGAGCAGCTATCATATGAAAAAACTCCCATTGCCATATTAGACAGACAGGTTCAGAGATTGAGAACTAAAGACGTAGCTTCGGTAAAAGTACTTTGGAGAAACAACAATGTGGAAGAAATGACTTGGGAGGCCGAGGAAGACATGAAGTCTAGATATCCGTACTTAATTCCTCCTCCAGAGAAGGGTCCGACTGAGACATCACAACCTTAAGGTATGTGTATGGATTCTTATGTAAGTTATTGTCATTGGTCGTGTAAGGCCATTGTCATTATTGATGATTGTAGTCCTATGTGGTGTTGAATTATTGAGTTCTACAGGAAGAGTTGGTAGTAGTATTGTTACAAAGGCGACTCGACCAAAGTTATATAGATCCCGGGAAGTTAAACATTCGAGGACGAATGTTTCTAAGGGGGAAGGATGTTACATCTCGCGTTTTCGTATGTTAAAGTTTCGCCTTCAGTTAATCGACGTAGACTCGGGGATGAGATTATCTTGAGGTTAACGTATTTATGCTATTTATAACAAGCGATAAGTAAGTGCCATGAAGAGCAAAAGATACATGAATTAAAGAAAATGAGTTTCGTTAAAGGTTGCCGATTTGGGGATAAAATACGATCTGAGCTATAATACTCGATATTTATGGACTAGTACCATACAAGGTACCATATGACCGTGATAGTATGATGTATAAGGTATATTAAAAATGAGTAGAACTTTAAGTAATGTGAGATAATTCTTAATTATGCGGGTAATTGATTAATTATCGGGTAACGGGACATTACCTAGTTAATTAATAAATTATAAGATAAAGATTAAAAAAAACCTCCCAAAACGTGGCAGCAAGCCACTTCTTGAGAACATGACTATTAGTTATCTTTGGTTAGGTGGCAAGTAACATGTCAAGAACAAAGACACCTCTTTTCTTATGATTTAAATACAAAGACTTGTAAGTAAGGTGGTAAGTACAAAACCTTTCATTTCTATTTTTTGAATACAAAAGACTTCATATCATAACTTAGCAATACTTCACTTCATAACAGAACGTTAGCAATTCTTACAATTCAAGTTCCTACAAAGACATTAACAACGAGATTTCTTCAACCAAATCCAACGAAGAATTATTAGAAGCTTAACAACGTAAAAATTTTGCGGTTCTAAAAGAGTACGGTGTAACCTTTTCCAAGAATATCATACGGATTTTTCCCTACTCCAGGTATGTTAAGGCTATCCCTTCTTTCTTTTTGGCATGATCCAAATTATACAGAAGAAACGAGCAAACGCACAATTTTCATAAACGACTCTATTCATAGAAATACTAGGGGTCTCTGTGTCCTTGATTCCCCATGTGACATATTATTATATCTTCTGTTCATGGGTCTTAGAATAATACGCAGTTGACAAAATTTTATCCGAAAGGAATATTGAGATTATTAACATATTTTCATGCACTTCATTCATTTATACATGTACATTGACTCATGACCAGATGGCGTTATATACGTGTATTTATATGTATATGTATATATATATGTGTGGGATATGGGAAAACAAATTACGGTGTTATATACGCACCACCACTTGATCAATTGGTATATGTTGATGATGTTACCCACAGTGGCCGAGACGATATGATGAGATGCCCTCATAGGCTTGATGATGTTATGTACACCTATACCTATGCATGACACGACATTTATATGCACGTGCATGACATTATAAATGTTTCAAAAATTACAAAGTTATTCAGACTTACAGATGGATTTCTTTATTCCATGTTTCATCTATGTCTTTTGTGTACTGATTTTCATGCCTTACATACTCAGTACATTATTCGTACTGACGCCCTATTTCCCGGGGCCTATATTTCATGCCCGCTGGTGCGGATAGGCAAGCCGACGGTTCCCCTTTTTAGGATCCTTGATCAGCGAGAGTTGGCGTGCTCCACTTGATCCGGAGCTGCTTTTGATTTTGGTACGATATGCTTGTATATATATATATGGGTATGACGTGGCTCAGTCCCATCTTTGTACAGTTGTATTTCTATTAGAGGTCTGTAGACAGTTATGTATAGTTGGATAATATGTGATCTTGTCGGCTTTCAGTTTTGGGTATTTAGTTGTCTATAGCAGCCTTGCCGGCTCGCCCACTATATTCCGCATGTATATGTACATATGTCTTTTGGATAGATTTCCCTCATGTATGTTATTCACGTCTATAACTTAAACGCAGGTTTAAGGATGTTTGACACGTATGATTCGGGCACCCGTCGCGGCCTATCGATTTGGGTTGTGACATCTTCATTACCTCTGAAATTACCCCGGGCTCGGCTTCACCCGGTCTCTCGATAGTTTGTCTCTCGGTAGTTTAATCGTCTCTTCGAGTGCTTTCCTAGGATTGTCCAGGCTCGACCCTATTGGGGGCGTGGCTTTGATTCTGCAGCTGTGCTATAACCGCTTGTTGAGCTTGCAACATTTCGAAAATCAGTCGTAGGCTCACCCCATCACCTTCACCTTCGGGCGCTTCTCGAGCTGTTGGTCGTGGTCCCCCGCGAACACTGTTTCCGGAATCAGTTGGCAAATTGATGTTCATGGCCACATGCGAGTTAGCATCGATCATGTCGGTGGCTGGGACACCGTTGGGATCGGCAGGAAGCAGATCATTACTGGGCAACACATTATCATTTTCGTCGTGATGTCCTGACTCAGCGTCAACATTCAAGTGAGCAGACCGAGAGTTTGACATTTTCAGGCTGGCTTGGAATTAAGATTTAAAGAACAAGCGTAAAATAGGGTGTGTTATAGAGATTCGTACCAAATCACCACTATTATCCTTAGACCCACGGTGGGCCCAAACTGTTTACCCCAAAAATGAGTAACAATTAAATTTGTATGCGGTTTAAAGGATACATGGTTTAATTTAATACGAATTATTAAGAATAACAGATAGATGAATTAAAGACAAAATAAACAATTAAACTAATTGCAAGATGATGACCAAGCCTATTCTTAGATTAAACGGTAGAATTCGTCTTTGATCGGACCCTCGGTAGAAGCTCAATCGTAAGTAAAGAATAGAACAAACAAACAATGCCTTGAACAGTAGCTAGAGGACAAAAATAAATTTTTTATTGCCTTGGATTGCGTGTTATAATGTGTTGGACTAAAAAAAATCTCCTTCATCTAATAGGAGAATTTCAACCCTAACGCAAGTCTAAAAAAAATAAAAATCTAATTTTCCCTATAATTGTTTATCCATGATTGATACCGACGGGATTCACGCTGTAAAATCTAATTGAAGGCGAATATCACGACCCCTATCCGTCATGCATAACCGTTTACCTCGTCTCCCGAGGTCCAGGAGTCGTACTTGATCCGGGGTACATTACTTTGTCGTGTCCGATCTCAAATACATCATTCGTTCTTCCTCGATCTCGGTACGAGGAGTTCCCGACCTCAACAATAATTTTGTAGATTCGTGCTTCTCTTTCATTCTCTCTTCCGCGACCCCGATTTTACCCATACACAACTACTAATTCAAATAATGTTGTAAAATTGATTTATTTTTATATTTATCAACTTCTAAATTTAATACTTAAGAGTTAAGATTATCCTAACCCAATTCCAATCACTATACGGGATTTCAACCCTCTTAAAAACAGTATTTTAGGGTTAAGAGTCTGTTCCGTAAAACAATATACTTTCACTCAGCTCCCACTTTCAATTCTTCTCTCTCGATCATGGAGTCCGACGGCGACATGTACGAGGACAGTGACGTAGAATCCGCCGGCGATGATTTCTACGGCGACGGAGACGCTTCCGACGGCGTCAGCGACGCCGATGACGACGATTTCATTGGTAATGATCCTGATGACTCCGATGATCTTTGCGCTAAGAAAAACTACGTCGTTTTGTCCGACGATGATATTCGTCGTCTCATGGACGATGATATCTCTAAGGTTTTCTCAGTTCTCTCAATTTCCAAAATTGAAGCATCTGCTTTGCTCCGACGGTATAATTGGAGTGTGAGTAAAGTTCACGAGGAATGGTTCGCTGATGAATCGAAAGTTCGAGAAGCTATTGGCTTGAAAATAAATAATAAAATCATTCAATCTCCGGAATTAAATTCAGTAATTTGTGTAATTTGCTTTGAGGATTATTCATCCGATGGAATTTTGGCGTCTGCTTGTGGTCATCCTTTTTGCGTTGAATGTTGGCGAGGGTATATTAGTAATTCCCTATCTGATGGTTCTGGATGTTTAAATTTGCGATGTCCTGAACCATCTTGTAAAGTTGCTGTCACACAGGATATGATCGATCTTTTAGCATCCGATGTTGATAAAAAGAAGTATTATGGATTTCTTTTTCGTTCTTACGTTGAGCAAAACAGGAAAATTAAGTGGTGTCCTGCTCCGGGATGTAATTTCGCCGTTGAATTTGATATAGGGAGTGATAATTGCGATGTTATGTGTAACTGTTCACATTGTTTTTGTTGGAATTGTACGGATGAAGCTCATCGACCCGTTAATTGTGAAACAGTGAGGAAATGGAAGGAGAAGAACAGAGCAGAATCGGAAAATACTAATTGGATTTTGGCTTACACAAAACCTTGTCCCAAATGCAAACGCCCAATTGAAAAGAACGAAGGGTGTATGCGAATGACATGTAGAGACCCTTGCAAGTATCAGTTTTGTTGGCTGTGCCTTAATTCTTGGTCAACTCATGGCTATAATCCGTGTAACAAGTACAAGCCGGAGACTGAAGATGAGAAAAAGAAAGAAATGGCAAGGCAATCTATTGTGAAATACACGCATTATTACGAGAGATGGGCTGCAAATGAGAAGTCGAGGCGAAAAGCTGTAGAGGATTTGAGGAGAATGGATGAAGTGAATGTTAAGGAGCTGAGTAAATTGCAGAGAATCCCAGAGACACAATTGAAGTTCATTTTAGATGCTTGGAATCAGATTGTTGAGTGTAGGAGAGTGTTAAAATGGACTTATGCTTATGGATTTTACTTTCCTAATGAGGAGCAAACGAAAAGGCGGTTTTTCGAGTACTTGCAAGGACAGGCAGAAACTGGTTTGGAGAGACTTCACCATTGTGCAGAGAAGGAACTGGAGATTTATTTGAATGTTGAAGAAAGTGATTCCAAAGCATTTTATGATTTCCGTAGAAAGCTTACGGGTTTGACTAGTGTGACTAAGAATTACTTTGAGAATTTAGTTAGAGCACTTGAGAATGGTCTTGAAGATGTGGATTCTCTTAATGCAAAATAAGATTGTCTTTTGTGCCTAAACCAAAGAGATGGAGTAGTGAATACCAGTTTTGGTGGGCAAAATTATTCTATGAATTGAGGTCTACATGCTAATAAAAAATGCATATAACTGATGAATTAATTAAGGTGTGTGCAAACTAACTACTCAGCAGGATACAGGAGGCAGAATTGTGAGGCCGACAGACAATTAAGGCAAAGTCAGGCTACGTTGGACATGGCAGGTGGATTCTCTCGTGTTGCTCTTTTTGGTTCATATTGTAGCCTCAAATTGTTGTTTTGAGGTCTCACTCCTTTTTTTATTTTCCTTAAAGTACAAAGGAAGTTATTTTGTGTTAGCATCTAAGATAATTCAGGGCACCTCGTTGCACAAAGTATTCCATGTTTACATAAGAGCGGGGAAGGGCCACATCCCCAAGTGAGTGTGATATAAGCAGTCTATCCCGATGTGATAATCTAAATTTATAAATTTAAGATTATTACATTGTGTGAATAAAAGTTTGAGTTGATTTCACTTAATTACCTTAACCTTTAAGGTTTGAAATGTGATAGTGAATCCATTTGTCTTAAATCAACGCTAAAATGGATTGGATAATTATTGAAAATAAAGGTTACAATTTCAAATGTCAGTTGTAGTCTATAGGTGATAATATGAAATTTCAAAAAAAAAAAAAAAAATCAGAGGGTTATTCCATGCAAAAGATGAATGATGTACTAGTTTCTTACCTAAAAATAGTAGGAAAGTAAAAGAAATTTAGTCATATTAAGTATCTTTGAATAATGTTTAACAATTTCGAGAAGAATGTATAATAGGCCATCATAGTTGAAGGTAGTTTCTTTAACATTTGAAAATATTTGTAATGATCTATGTCATTGTTTGCCGTTGGTTTTTTGGTATCTTTGAATACTTCTCTTTTTTTAAAATTTTCGAGAAGAATGTATAATAGTGCCATAATTAATGTCGTTTTTTAACATTCTTGAAAATACATGTAATGACCCATCTTATTTTTGTCGTTGATTTTAACGTTCAAGGGGATTCATTATCCTATTTAAAGATGAAGTGCGTACTATTTCCCGAACCAAAAAGAAAAAGAAGTTAAATGAAATTTACCAAGATGACTCATTATAGAACCAATACTGACAATGTGTTTTTCATATTTTTCTATTATCTTTTAGTTTTGTTTTTCTAATCTATTTCTTACATCTAATAAACATTTTGTATTGATAACCAAAAGGAAATTCTCAAAGACTGAGCTAGGATCGTCGTTCAATCGTGGGGCAGTGTACATTTATATTTGAAGTTTACTCAAATTTAATGGGTAACAAGTGTAACATTCACAATGTTATTCCTATGGGCGTAACATTTGGGGCAACTAGAAAGTCTCATCACTCATGTGGCCTAGTAGATCTTTGACGTCCGCGAAAAGTTATCAATGATTTTAGTCCAACAGCTTCTTTTTTCAAAAACATTTATTTTTCAGTACACAAAGATTAAAGAACAGGGGCTGACAATGCATAGCAATTGTTTTTTTAAAATTTAGGAAACACATATACAGTTTTTCAGTCAAATTTGCATCTATTATCCCTAAAACTAAACTTGCAACCTATAGTGTATTGATAAAATCTGGCTTTGACACGTGTATAGTTTACATGGCGACGCGACAGTGCACGGGATAAGTGTCACTCCGGGGATGAATGAACATCAGAAGTCTGCACTCATGAGAAGTATCTTTGATCGATAGCTTCTTTGCAGGGAGACAGAAGCAGTGCCCCGGTGAAGCACTACGAGGACGACCTCGGGCATCCATTGGTGCAGCTATGATCCGGTGTCTTGCTTGGTTTTTAAATGTCGCCGTAATATTCGGGATCCTCTCATATTCACTATACCTAATGCTAATCTCACAACTAACGAGTATCTCGGTAACTAATAACCACCCATAGCAACATGTGAAAGTTAAATTAGGGATATGAACGTTAGGCTTAGGCTATAAATATCTTCACTTTCTTCACTTATAATTGAAGTTGATTCCGCTCTTGTTATAAGCTACTGTATTTCGCTCTTGTCAAGCTGGATAATCAATCTTTACTTTTCAGTATTGTGGCTTCTAAACAATCTCAATAAGATTATTCTTTCCTTTGCTTATTTACTTTAGTCGCATTATTATCGTCGTTTATTGCTTATTTAGCCTAACAAAATGAGTTATACAACTTACCTCTGATTTAAATCGATTGTTAGTGACCTCATTGAAAATAAATTTAATTATTTTATCCTGAAATTATTTTTGAGTTAAACAGTTTGGTGTCCGTCATAGGGCCCTAGCAATTGAGCGTTTGATCCAAAGCTCTAGTTGTTTGTTCTTATTAAAAGGCTTGTCTCTCACTCATTTATCAATTTCCTTTCTATTTTGTAAATCAGAATGATAGAAGAAAGTTCTCAGCCAACTAATCAAAGCAAGGCACCTCAACTTAGTGAACAATCTGGGGACTCCGTAAATCCCCAATGAAAGCAGGCCCCCCTACGGGTAAGGAGATGTTGGTTAGTAAAGATGCAACATTCAGTAAAGGAGCTCCACTCAACAAACGTGCTACAACATAAAGGCTTGCCCTCCCATATGGACTAGTCAACCCACAACTTCACCGAACAAAGTGGCGAAATCTCACTACAAGATTCCCGAGGGGCGTCACCTCGAAGGAATTCCTTGTATCAACCCAATTTAGAAGAAACCTTAATGTCTTTTATGGCTCAACTACAGAGTTTGAATGCTCAATAGGTGTAATATTTAATAAATTTACTGGGAGTAATAACAGTAATATCACACCAATCCCGCAAATAGGAGCGGCTCCGGCCACGAATACTCCTAACTTATTATTGAAGGCTTCTGATATTCCTGATAATTCTGAGGTCCGAGAGTCGGGTACATCTAAAAATGTTGAATTACAGAGTTTAACACTAAATATGCATCAACAAGTTAAGGAATAGAATGAGAGGGCCGAGAACAGGAGTTCCACCTATAATCAAGGGAATCGATATAAACCAGTACTCTCAACAACCGTGGAAACCAAGCGTGACCCTGTTGCTAATACTTAAGAAGTTCAAAATGCTAGACATCCTGAAATACGATGAAACCTACGATGTGCGCGACCACGTCATGGATTGCACGACCGTGGTCAAAATTAAGGAATGACCTCACGAAGGAAGAAATCGGATTAGTGTACCTAAAAATTCCATTAGTTCTTTTGCTGAACTTGCATATGCCTTCATCAAAGCACACTCCGGATCGCAAAAGTAGAGAAGCAAGCGGAAGACATCTTCAAAGTCCTACAAGGAAGAACGGAGTCACTCAGAGACTTTATAGATCGATCTCAAAGGGAGAATATGCTACTTCATGAGGTTCTGATAATTGGATCGTCGTAGCTTTCACAAGAAACTTGAAACCGATCTCAAAGAACTTGAAAGAGAGCCTACGGGAATTTTTGACCAAAATATGGAATGATGTGTACCACAGGTACAACACTAAGCTTCAAATAGAAGATGATATATCAATACTTTTGAAGGAAAGGAGATGACCAAATACAATCGTCAGACCAAAGTAGTTCATAGGCGAGATGAGCCCAAGCGCCGAGACTCTAGGATCTAGTGTGAACCTATTCCAGACCCATGCAACGAAAAAATGATTGAAGTCGTCTTCAACTCCGAATAAACATAGGACCACTAGTCCTTGAATTTGTTCTTCTCTACCTCAGTTTCCAGAGTCCCCATTAGCTCGTTTACTTCCTCAAATAGCTCCTAACAGCGGTCCTCCATGGCCTTTCTCTCGGAGATAGCCTTGCTTTGTTGCTTCCGAGTTGATTTTTAAAAAAATGGGATGTTAGAAAAACGAGAAAAAACTATAATCAATAAGAAAGAAGGTGTTTGGGACTATATCTTGGACACCGAGTACACACATGCTTTGCTAGATTTTCCATCGAAGCCCTATCTATGTATTATTGTTTCATAGGACCAATAAAACCTTTGAACCATGGGGTAAATCTTCTTGGGTCTCCGGAAGACATTTACATTTGAAGGTATTTCTACCAACACCTGCCTCTTCGGGGTAGTAAAATATTTAGGTTCGGGGCATGGGGGTAAATTAGGTCAGGAAACGCAGTATGAGTCTACCTCGAACACAGCAGAATTATGTTTCAGAAGTTGTAGCCCATCTAGAAGGGCTTCAACCAACTCACCAAATCTTTCGTGCATGGGTGTCGTAGCTTCTCCTTCTAGCACCATTTGCTCTTTTCTAACTCTTTGCTTTGGGAGTGACTACAACTTGTCATCATCCTCGACGAGAATGGTACAAGGATCAAAATGAGAGAGAAGTTCATTTGCCTCGGGCTCATCTCGGAGTCAGGAAAGTGTAATTGAAGGCAGGACCCGAGGATTATTTTTCTCCTAAGTCCCCTATTTAGAACTCTTCTTTTTCTTCTGCTTCTTGGGTTTAGGGGCATAAGGCCCCTCTTTTCCGGCTTTTCTCTTCGGCAAGGATGACTATTGGACAAAATCCTGGGGGATCTCAAGATCCAGGACCTCAATCCGTACTGATGATCTTCTATGCTCGGTACCTGCAAAAGCAAAATGAGAGTGTCAGATATCTCAACGAAAAAGAGAATTTAGAGTACTTTGTGGTTGAAATATCTGCACCATGATTCTTTTATTCCTATCCTTTGATGATAGAGATCGCTTTCCATGTTCTCACTTCCATGGTCGCTGACTTCAAAATTTTGTCGACCCACTCCTTTATATATGGTAGAGGGCCAGTGACAAAATTCCGAGATGCTATCTATTATAAAGGCTAGAAGATCTTAATCTAAAAAGATGAAATAAAAAATAAGAAAAAGAGGAAGAACTTACGTTTGATATTCCACTTTCGGGGAAGGGGAGGTCCCTTCGCTCAAAATGTCCCAGGTTGGTACTTTAACAAATCTCCCATACTATTTGTGGTTGAAATCATCCTCTGTATTAACAAGAAGGGCGCGGGTGCCCCAACGTTATCATCGACCCCTTGTAAAGCTTGTGGCACTAAATTTGGATGAGATGCTTGAAAGTAAAACTTCTCGCACCGTTTCGACAAGAAACCTCAGGCATTCCACTTATCTCCACAGAGCTGGTCCTAGTTGACCCAAGCAAATATTGTATGCCTTATAGAGGTCCTTTACCATCGGATCCATGGACGGCTTAAATATGAGGGTGAATGGGTAGGTGAACACAAACGTGAAACCCTTCGGGTAGGTGGTTATGTCCTCATTTGCTTCAAGCAGGAAGACCCGAATCTTAACTTCCCAGGCACAACCTTTCAAAATTGTCGTAAGGTGCTTTTCCTGTAAATCCAGCGGTAAAGTCTCAATCCTTTTTCCGGAGAACTGCTCTAAGGAATGCAGGGATCAATAAAATTGATCGTTTTCGGGAGAACCTCAGCCATTTTTTGGCTTGTTGTGCTCTTTATTGCCTTCGCTAGATCTTCTGGCGACCTTGCCTTTCT